ATCGTCAAAAACGATCGTTAGACAATCAGGTCAGAGGACTGGACTTAATGGCCTATATGTAAATACATTGCCATGAAAAATGTATCTTGAATCCTTTTGCCATGGGCTATGCTCAGGGCCTTACGACTTGCGTGGCCCGATTTAATGGATGCTTGCGAGGTCTCCTTTTTTTTTTTTTACAATACCAAAAAAAAATTACTATTGACTAGAGCATTATACCAACATTTGTTATACAAAATGCAGCCTGTACGAAGCAGCTCAAACGCAATATGTGCCTATGAGATGATTAAAGTTACGTCAATCGTACCATAGGCCTACACTAAATATGTGAAGCCTTTAAGTCTTACATCTTTAAAAACCTGTAACAAGAGCCATGACTGATAGTGATATTCTTAATGTAAACATGAGGACCCCTGTCAAGCGCGGGGCCCAATTGGAGCAATCGGTCAAATCGGCCTGGCAATGCTTTCACATTTTCAAGGAGGATTTAATTGTTCCAAACGTAATTTAAAAAAAATATTTTTTCACGTTTCATTCGCATATTTCACTAATGTTTAATCTTGTGGTGTATCCCTTCATAAAGCAGTTTACTTTCTATTATTGTTAGGTTGGATATGCATATTTGATTGAAACGGTAGACCTAACTCCAGCACATGAGACGTCAAGCTTTGGATTGAATGTGCATCAAACATCTCAAAAAGATAAAAAGAAATGCCAGTTCAAAAAGACTTGAATCTTCGCCCTGCCAATATTCATGATATCAGCTGAATGCAGTTTTAAGACCCCTTTAAAACAATTAGCACAGCATGTCAAACAAACGACGTCCCACCACGACGAACACTAGGAGGCTGGTCCATGAGAACAATCGTTCGGAGCTAGAGCTAGAGAAAGAACTTGGCCGTCTGGAAAAGGAAAGAGCGGCAACTCTTAAAGAACTTGAAAACGAAACAAAATTATTTTGTTTGAATTCTTCCAGGTAAGTTAATAAGAAAATGATGCGCTAAATGTCGAAAAATGTTGTAAACAGGTAGGCCTCAATCTTGACGTTCTTCTCGAGTAGTGAAAAATGTGCTTTGTTTAATTCAATGAGGAGCGGGTTCGATTCTTTGGTCCATATACTGAAAAGGCCCGGAAGCCGCTAGTGGAAACAACGTACCGCAGCAAGAAGAGCGCAGGGCTCTCTGGGGCACTCGTGGAATTATCAGTTCACTAAGGTACAAGGGCATTTCTTTGGTATAGGTTCATTGAAGACAAAGTATGTCCAACCTTATAATTGTTTATTACATGCGACATTTATTTTCTCTTAGGGCGAATATAAGAGAACGTCACTCACTTCATCGGGATCTAGATCTAATTACACCGCATAGAAATAAACCTTAAGATAAACCCTTTAATGACGCCGTAGATTGAAATGCTCGACACAGTCGGCCGGTCACATCCAGCTGATGAAATATCATCCGGACTTAAGCCATAGATCAGTGCCCAACATTGTATTTCCCGGCCCGGGGACCACCCGACACGCATCACGTTATGGAGTTCAATCGAACTGTGGTTGAACTGAAACTCTTTGGTTAAATTGAGACTGTGGTTGAGCTAAAACTGTGATTGAACTGAGACTCAGCGGTTAAACTGAGACACTGTGGCTGAACTGAGACACTGTGGTTGAACTGAGACTGTGGTTGAACTGAGATTCTGGTTGAACTGAGACTCTGTGGTTGAACTGAGACACTGTGGTTGATCTGAGACTGTGGTTGAACTGAGATTCTGTGGTTGAGCTGAGACAGTGGGTGAACTAAGACTCTGTGGTTCAGCTATGCACTGTGGTCAGAAATTGTGTCACAGGCGAATCAAGTCTGCGGACCGTAGTTTGGACCTTTCTGCCCTATTTATTCTGGCATAAGTTAACTGGCTTAAAAGATCTGTTTGAAAGGGGAAAAAAAGCCCCTAGTGTTATGAACAGGCGCGGGCATTCATTGAAAGCAGCGAGATTTGAAAAGCTTTTGAGGGTTCCAAAAATATCCATTAAAATCTTCACAAATCACTTTCGCCCAGCATTTGGAGTGTTCTGCTCTTTTGTTACGGACATTTTTTTTTTCTCTTCTTTTGTCTGCCGGAAAGTGTCGGAAAAGGTTGCCAAGTGTGGTCATTTCTTTATACTCCGAGAAACTCCACTTTCTGTTTATTGTCATTTACCAAAGTGTGCTAGTGTAGCTTTGAAATCTGTTCAGCATTCTTACATTAATACATTCTTAACTGTAATTTTGATTTAATGATTCTGATATTTGGTATAAAATTCATTTCAATGCGTTAGACACAGTATTTAAAAAATCGCATTACAAAATAATCCTTAAATAGAAAAATATTTATTAAAAAAATGTTTATTGAACGACCTGAATTCGAACTCGAGAGCTCAAACCTCCTTAAGCCAACTCACTAACAACTGTTCCAGCGAAGTGCTTTAAACTATAAAATTAATTGAAAACCCACAAGAAAAGAAAAGAGAGGAGAGAGAGAGAGAGAGAGAGTAAAAATTAGACTATGGTCTAATTTGGAAGAAAAAGTGATACCACAGATGTTGTAGAATGTGAAATTGAGAACCAGATTGTTATCAGCTAGTGAGATCTCAACTCTGGCTGGACACCTTAGTGATGCCCATGCACAGGACTGAACGTTAAAAGCAATGATAGAATGTTGTGCTCACGTACATGTCCTTTGTGTATCACGCTTAGTAAACAAATCAATGATTGAAAATTATATTTCTATTAGGTGATCTTGTAAAGTCTAACACTATTAATATTTTATAAAATTCAACTGTAGCTTTTATTTTACAGCCCAACAAAAAATCTTGACCTTATGACTACAGTTACAAGTCCTAGACTTGTGTCATCAACCTCGCCAAAACCTGGCTTCAGAAAAGCTTTTGTCAACGGAAGGGCTGATATTCAAGACTACATTGTCCCACTTGGACAAAGTCATAAGTTGGCAAAATCCTACGAGACCTTGTCCTCACCTAGAGAGTTAGCATCTCAGAGAACCAGATCTATTTCTCCGAGAAGTATCCGGCGTGAAACTAGCGTGACATCATCAGACTCCTCGCCTGCTTCTTCGCCAGAAGCAAAACGAAGGCAAAGTAATGCTAACCTGCAAAGACCAGCATCTTTCTATGACACTATTGGATATACCTCAGTCAAATCTCCTAGGGCTATTTCTGGAAGTGGGCAGATCCCTCAAATAATCATTAGTACCGAAGATGTTGGTAACATCACTCTGCCTCGATTGACATCCGATGTAACCCTGGACTCATCCAAAGAATCTTTATCCCTTCCTGCAAAGAGAGGTCGAAGTTCATCTGTTCCTTTGATCGTTCCTCCTCCTGTTCAGGTCAATCCAATACTCTCCGATTCTGGAAATCCATCGATGCGCCCAAGAAGTAGCAGTATTTCTTTCCCATCTGAATCTTTATCAAAACCTTCTGCAAGACGGAACTCCGTGCAGAGCAGAGCTTCAGAATACCGAGGTCCTTACAGAAGGTCATCGATAGCCGTGGAGCACTTCATTCACGACCTTACAAGGGGTATCGATCATTTAGGTATACATCACAATAATAATCGCATACCGCCATTATCTCCAGAAGAGTGGGAAAATCTTAAATCGTGCCGATATCTTCGGATGCCCAACCAAAGTTAGCTGGGCTTTAATAAATGTTTTTAGTTTCACATTTTAAGAATAAGAACTATTGCAGCAATAAGGGAAACAACCTGGTACTGGACACATTACCAACTCCCGTTAATTTTGTTCATGTTGACCTACTCGACAATCCAAGCCTGAATAAAAAAAACAATGAATAAGATCCAAGATAAAAGAGCTTCATGACAACACAAATAATCCAGATATTTTGGCACCATGCCACCACATAGATAAACTCCTTTCTTAAAGATTAATATCTTGAGACGTGTGTTCAGCTCAATACAAACCATGCGGTGCGTAAATAATTCACTGCATAAAGGCATACGCTCTACCCCCCCCCCCCCCGTTTCTCAGTACATAATATGGGTACATTTAAAATCATGATTCAGGTTCGAATCCCTGTATGAAGAAATGTCCTAAATAATTATCCTGGACTTTCCCCCATTTCTAATAGACACCAAAGACTGGTTGATGGGAAAAAAAAAGGATTTGTTTTTTTGCTGGCCCTACACCAAAAATCTTGACTTCGTTAGCCTTAAGGATTGATAGAAATTAAATATACCATAGATATGGCACTATGATTCTCATTAATCGAAAAAAAAAAGACATGGAGCATATCGACCACATTCTAGTTTGAATGTTGAGAAAAAAGAGGCGCAGGAGGACTTCAATGGTTGACATAAGATCTGTTATTAATATAATGATGTAGGGGACTTCAATGGTTGATGTAAAGTCTGTTAGATGATGATGTAGGTAGATCTGGTAGGAGGACTAATGTAAGGTCTTTTAGATGATGTATTATCAACCAGCCAACATCAAAAAAGCACTTCAAAATTAAAACTTTATGGGCCTAAAGTTATATGTAAAGAATTGTTTTGTTGTTGATAAACTGAACTGTGCTGCTTAAAGTTATGGTACACAAACCATATTATGTTGTTTAAAGCTGCTTTAAAATTATGATACAGAATCTGTATTGTATTGTTTAAATAAATAAATTTCTACTTGAAGAATATGTGTAGTTAAAGATGTTGATACAAGTCTGTTTTGTTGAGTTTATTTTAAATTCTCCATAATGTTTCTGGTAAAATAATTGGCTTTAATAGTACAATTTATTTTTTATTTAATTAAAATTTTTCTGAACTATGGGCCCCCTCCTCCCATCCCACCACCATCTGGACCACCCCACCTTACAGATGTAAAATCAAAGTGGTAACAAAGAAGGCTTTAATCAGGACTTATAGATGTACAAATGTACGATTTTCAATAACAAAACAGATTTAAACATTTTATAATAGAACTTCAATCCAATTTAAATGTTTAAAAATCAAATGATGTCCCACATAAATAAAAACAAGACATTTTTCTCTAGCTTTATTCACTTAAAACTGAACTATCTGCCAACTCATGCTTAAAACAACTACAGAATGTGCTAGTTGTGAAATATAAAATCCTACGTTATTCACTAAAACATGTTAAAGATTTTTCTAATGTATAGAAAAAGAGGACATCTACAGCTACATCTCATAATGAAAATTAAGTGTTTAAAAAATGATTCATAAAACTACACTGGGTTGTGCATGATAAATGTTTAGATCTAGCCCACATAATAAATTATGCAATGAAAACATGAATGTAAAACACATGAGTCATAACAAAAGTTCTTAATGAATTGCAGAAATGTATTGACCAACAGTAATGCATCACATTCCACAGAATATGATTTAGATTAATTTCAATCAACAGAATGCGACAAACTTTCATACAACATAATAATGTACAGTGATCACCATTTCACACATTTTCCCACACACACTTAGTAGATCTTAGCTAACAGAGAAACATTCTTGACAATGGTTCAAAGAAAATCACATTTTCTGTTGTTTTGTGTGTGTGTATGTGATTTTCTTAGAACCATTAAGTCAAGAATGTTTCTCTGTTAGCTAACCCTAACCCTTACAAAAAAAATATAAGTCTCATTAAGGCAAATATATAGATACTCCAATTGAATAATTACAAAGTAATGTATTTTATTTAAAGTCTACTAATAACACCAAGATCAAACAGCTCTGGGATCTAAAGAAATAGTTTGAGTGTAGCAGCTTTTCAATTGAAATATTTTAAAACAATTGTTTAGTTGATTATTAAATTTATTAAAGATGAAATCTTTCTCACACATTTATTTAACAAAAAAATGAAGCTTGAATTAAGCATCTGTTGCTTGGTAATGCTCTTCATCAATGGTTGAATAGATCAATCCTTCACTGCTTAGGAAGTCAATGGTGTCCCTAACAATACAAAAACAAAAGTAAATCAAGAAAGTACACTTAGCATCTAAGTTGATTTTACAAAATAGTTTGCCTCAAACTTGCCATTTAGCAAATTCCACCAAGACAGAGAAATAGCCAGGAGCAGTGAGAACAAGATGCAGCCCTAACCAGACTGAGAGGTATATAGTGAGACAAAGGCTAGGACTGGTACATTTTAAAGGGCAGCACAGCCAGAAGAATCAGTTATGACAGAAGCCATAGAACACTCGCTACCAAAATGTCCGTAGTTAATTTTTTGCATAATATTGAAGGTATGACAGAATCTGCTCAGGAGTAAATACACAAGTCACCAACCTGGTCAAATAAACTCCCCAAAATGACTAATAATTAAGATCACAAAAGTAAATAATGGCAACTAAAAGGAGAGAATTAGAAAAATTAGATTTAAACTGTTGTTGTGTATTTAATGCGCCTTGCATATCTAGAAATGATGAAAATTATAGATGTTCTGGCTAGTATAAAACACAAAAAGAGCAGCAGATTTTGATAAAATCTTTCTAAAAATTTTATCTTCAAGCACATGAATGTTAAAAGACATTTTCTATATAGACTCTTGCAATATATACTCAACCTGATAGCTTTAGGGGCAACACTCTTGAGTTGTTGACAAATTTCATCAATACTGCATCCTCTCTCTGATTGGTTACTTCTGACAATATTCTGGATCTATTCCAAAAGGTTAAAAAAAAAGGTATATTAAAAAATATATACATCATAACTAGTTAGAATGAGCCTTGAACTAAAAATGTAATAATAACAGAACTAAAATTAAGTTTATAAAAAGTCTATATAACTTATTCTCAAATAAAGAGAATTACCCAAAAAGAGTAACATTAAATAAAAAAACAAATAAATAAAAACCGAAGTAACAAACTATAGTCTTCTTAAATAATCAAGACTTATATACATACCTGAGACTGTAATGGAGTTAATCCAGCTATCTGATTCATGCCTGAAGAGTTTGTACTAAATCCTTTATTGTCTCCACCACCCATGATAGATGACGTCTGAAAAGGTAAAAAATAAAATATTCACCTGCTTTAAAAAATGATCATATTTAGAAATATATAATAATCTTAATTAAAGGCTTTAGTTGAAAAGAGTGTTAACATTCAAAAGCAAATATATGTTACTCTAACTATTAGAAATTTACTAGCTAGTACAGACAGCAAATTGATTTACAAACTAAGAAGAAAATTACCTGCTGTAAGCTTGCAGAGGCGGAAGCATAGACTACTTCAAGTATATGACAAGAAAGCTCATTCATGTCAGTGATTGGTGTAATTTTATGAGCATGAACTGAACGCTTGCCACCAAATGATCTGAGCATTCCACAAATCCTGACATATGTATTCACTGATAATGTGTTCTGTGTAGTATCTTCAGACTGTTCATTTTCCTGCATGGAAAAAAAAAATCTTTTGAAAATAATTAAATTCACTAGTCTAGTAGCCAAGCACTTTACCACTCACCAGCTACACCCCACAGTAAGCATCATGAAAATTTTTTTTAAAAATACAAGGCTGGAAAAATTGTTAAAAAGCAATCAGTCTGGGACCCCTCCCCCATTTCTAGGAATATGATAGTTCTAAAAAGAAGGATAAGCTTGAAAAAAATTATCCTAATACCCAAAAATTTGTTTATTAGAAAAAATAAATAAATTACAAACATATGTAATTTATTCAAATAAGCAGGATGCCTAATTCAATATTTCATTAGTATAAAGGAAGCAGAAAAATTGTGCGTAATTTCTATCAAAGCTTTATAGTACTTTGTTAAAACAAATTATGAAGACAAGAAACTTACATCAGAATCGTTAAAATGTCGAACCTCTATGGGAGGTCCAGTCATGTCATCAACAAAATAATCTAATCTCGTTGGCGTAGAATTTACTGATTTGATTAAACCAATAAAAGTCACCTGTAAATTAAAGGAAAAGAAATGAAAACATCTAATCCTAATTACTAATATAAAAAATGTGAGCAAAATACTAACACACTGTTAACATTTTCAACAAGTTGCCAACTATAATGATAGTATCTATTTGTGATCTATGGGGACAGATGATGTAAAGCTCATGTTTCTTTGGCCACTGGTTAACAAGAGAGACATGGCCAACACAAAGACCAACCACCTTTATTTCCCCAACATTTATGCCAGGTACCCGCTGAGTGGACTGGGGGCATCCTAATTAACCCAACAAAAAATGACTATCTTCACTCTACCACTCAGCTGGGAAGCCAAGCACTCTTAACTACATTAAGCAGCATGCTCCCTTTATTTATTCATTTTTTTTAAAACAATGTTTCTTTTTTTAAATTTTATTTATGATCAATTCTGACCATATTATTAGGGTAGAGTATATGGGTGAAGTATTTCTGCTTAATTCCTAATGATTGTTAATTTATTTGAAAATTTTTTGTTGCAAATACATTAAAATTCAACATATTGAATATTTCTATGAGTATTTTTTGTTTTGTTATACCTCTTTTTTTTTGTATACACCATTACCATTTATTTGACATATTTACTTATTGTACAGACATACCTCACTGAAACATATTACACTAAAGGCTTGATAAGAAACATGATATCTACTTTTTAAAATATAATATTAATAATAACAAATATATTTTACATACTTGTGCTAGCTCTAAATTTCCTGAAATAAAAACATCATCTTCATGCTTTGCTGTGAACATCTGAGCCACTGTCACAGGAACTAGGTTGTTGCTTCGTTTACTCCCTTTCTAAAAGTTAATAAAAATATATTTATATACATGACTGACTTTGACATTTGTTTTTAAAGTGACGTAGTGTACTACTTCCATCTTCAAAGAAAAATGTTATCTTAAACCCACCTTCTTTTCATCTGCTTGTGGGGTATTGAAACCTCCACCATGAAACCCTGTCTGGCTGAAATCTGTGAAAACATAAATCAATTTTTGTTTGTTATACATTTAAGAAGATTGATAATGTTTTATTACATGTATGGGCTAAGGGTATATAAAATTAAATAGAAACTCCGCAAAACGAGGCATTTTCCAACACCACAAGACTTTATAAAATCCATTGTTGGCATTGTTTGCCAGGGGTCTATTAAAGTTTTCTACTGCCCCTTTCTTCTGCAAGGGATTTTCTTGGGCCTCAAATAATGTAGCACTTTTGGGAAGTACCATGTCACCTTTTAAGCTTGCCGAAAAAAACAACAACTTATTACATTATTAGATTCTTAATCAATGAATTCAATGACCTTATGTTTTCTTGAGTTGAACTTCTTGAAGTTAGTTAAAGGGTTCCAAAACCAAAAAAAAAAAGATCATGGACTGTTGGAGGCTCAGGATGCCTCCTATTCATTTTATTGATGATATTCTTATTCTATTTTTGGCCTAACCAAGGTTATAAGACTAGATTATTATTATATAAATAGATTTAAAACAATTACCTGAATTATTCCACATAATGATAACCTAAATGAGAGATAAATGATTAGATCTAGATCTATATACTATTATATAGATCTAAATCCTGTTTGTCCACAGCTCCTATCAACTCTGTCAATGTTTATCAACTTTTTAGTCTAGAAATGGCGGGAGTTCATGTTGACAAGCTTGTACATTTCGTAAACATAAAAAGAGATCTCGATCTACATCTGTAAATCATAGTAAATGAGACAGCCTAATTTTTTATTGAAAATTTATTAGATACGTGTAATTTCTACAATGAACCTATCTATAATGTAAAAAATGGATGTGACAATAGAACAAATACAAAATATTTTGTGTAATAGTAGGAAGTAATCTAGATCTAGATTCTAAATTTCTAGATCTTACTGATCTAGATTTAGATCTCTCTCACATATAGAGTTATCTAGGTATGTGATTTATCTATTGTGGTGGTGAACCAAGTTGACAGCTATTTCGTCTATTCACACAATCAAGTGGCTTTGTTATGTAGAGTCACTATTGCGGAACAGGCATGTTTGCGGAACAGCTCATCGACATTGGTTAAAATCTACTTTATTTTGAAATTTTCTGCTAAACTACTGTAACGTACTGCGCATGGTCCATTTCTCTACATTTCCAATATAAGGGTTTTCCTTTTACAGCAGAAAATTTATTTTGATTCCAGGTTATATATAAAGTTGACAGGTGTGGAATCGTCCAATATTTTTCACGTATCAGGAGAACCGCAAGGGTCAGGGCTTAAGGCTTTTTAAAAATGATAATGACCCATCACCTGCATGATGCACCTAATTTTCGGTTTAAAAATGGATGTGAAAACACTTTATTTCATAGCTATCTACCAGAAATTCAATTTAAAAAAAATTGGGAGATGTTTACCCAGTTTTTACCTTTTTAAAGATAGTCACAATTGTGGAACACTATAGATATTATTTATTTGACCTGCGCATTTACATACATAGTGATTTAGATATTGGAGTTTAAATATGAGTAATATAAATTTAAAAACATTTAGAGAATAATATTACATATAATATAGAACTTATGATTACCAGA